CATGACTGTGCCATACTGTTTCGTCGGACTTTCACCGAGTGTGTGTTTTGTGTTTTGTATGTTGTGTTGTGTGTTGTGTGTTGTGTGTTGTGTTGTGCGTTGTGTGTTGTGTGTTGTGTTATGGACTGACACCAGAACAATCCCATTTCCATGTGTATGGGTGTGTGGTTGTGCGTGGGTGTGTGTGGGTGTGTGTGGGTTTGGGTGTTTGTTCGATATGTTGCAACTCTCTATGCAAAAGGTCCATCCTGAAAACATATATTGGGTGGGTGTGTGCGCGTGGGTGTATGTTCACTATGCTGCAGCTCTCTAGTTGTGTGCCGTTGTGAGTGTGTGTTTGTGTTTGTGTTTGTGTGTTCCATTTCCATGAGCGTGGGTAGGTGTGTGCATGTTGGTTTGTGTTGGAAATTCTGGAGCTCTCTATATGAATGGTCCATCCTCTGAGACTTCTGTTTGTAGCAATAAGTCAAAAAAACTAGCCTATTGACAAAAACACCACAGGCACCTGTGCACTGCCCACGCTCCACCCCCAACCTGTCTCCAAATATCCATCTTAGTTTCCTTACTTGCAGCCTTCAATTCTGAACAAGTCCTTCCGCCAGCAACAATCATTGACAACACGGACACCTGGCCATGTCATGATACCCTTCTCTCTAAGGGGCTCCTATCACCTTCACAAACAGGAAGAAAAGGATGAAGCAAAACCAAATGCAGAAATTCAGACGACCTAGGGGTAACCAATGCTTTGAACAATCGTTAACCATCGTTCAGGAGCAGTCCCAGCTTCTGTAATAAATTCATGTCAGAACCTCATATCGATCAACTAGGTTCTGGGTGACATCAGATGCTTACTGCAGAACCTGGACTGAAGCTGCCGAAGCAATCCCTTGTCTCGTTTACTTTGCTCTCCCTGCAATTTACAGTGCCACGATATCAAGAGCAAAAGGCATCACCGTTCAGCCATCCGCCCCACCATCATTACACTTTCACTCCCATCTTCCCTTCTGCACACTTTTTGAACTGCTCGGCCCTCTTGGTTGGACACCTCGCTGGCATGCAAAGAAACATTGATTGACATCCACAGGCATTAGTGATTCTTGTTCCCTTTTTATCATCACTGACCGGCACAAGTTAATTCAGAACAATTTCATTCTGGTTATCTGATTGAATCTGGATTCAACAAACTTCGCTCTGTATTTCAACAGTTGGTAGCTGTACCAACAGGGTTAGGCCCCTTGGTCAGGCAGTGATTCTTGTGCCCATACAAAGGTCGCAACAACCATGGAGACCGTTCAGCTATAACTGTGCGGTGAAAAAGTGGAAACGACTTACCTGGAGACGAAGGTCTCCTCAAACCCAGTGGAACCACCGTCAAGAACGCTCCCACGACACAGGACCAGCACGAGCCCTCCGATGCTTCTCGCCCCCCACAGATCACAACATTGCAACAGCCATTATAACAGTGTGGACTTGCGCACTCAGGGTCAACCACTCGGAGAGGCTCGTTTCCTATCTACCGACTTCTTCTAAGCCGCCCTTTCTTTTTTTTTTTTTACCAACACCCCCACCAGTGTTAGTGCTGCTGATAAGAGCAGACACCACTAACACCTGGGGAGAGGCTTCCAAGCCGCCCTTTGATCCATCGATCCATCCATCCCCTTTAGTCTCCGAGTATGCTTCAACAGTCTGTTGTTCACCATAACCATACAGCAGGTTGTGTCCTAGACAGAGCGAGGGGTGGGCATGGGAGAGAAAATAGTGAGCTCCCGCATGCAGGCACGCAGGCAGCGGAGCTTCGAACGTAACCTTGACGCACCCTCGGAGCTTCGAACGTAGCCTTGACGCACCCTCGCACTCCAAACCAAAAGGCCGATGACGGCAGCCATCGTATCTCCTACTTCCCATAGCCTGAACAGATTGCACCACCATCGTCGGTTTCTTTTGTAGCCCGTCTTTGATGTTCGCCTACCCCCGCAAAGATAACACCCAGGGGCTTCGCCCTAAGCTAAACTAGATGACGCTTCCAGTAATTGCTTATCCGGGTTGTTCGTGAGGTTGCCAGGCCTCGGTTTGCTTTGGTAATATAATTTGATGTTGAAGGGAAAAAAGGAACAACATACACCAATGGCCGACCGATTTCGGTTTAAGGGCGACGAAGCAATTCTCCTTCTTTCACCCATCCAGTTCTCTCTCTCTCTCTCTCTCTCTCTCTCTCTCTCTCTCTCTCTCTCTCTCTCTCTCTCTCTCTCCCCTTCCCTTCTCTTTACTTTCGGTCGTGTGTGGTCATATTGTTGCCTTGTTGAGTTATGCTATGTTCTATTGTTTTCGAGTTGTCATCGACAACGACAACAGTTCGTGCCTTCAGCTGGGGTAAGATCAGAGATGGGGACCCGACTTTTCGCGATGCCAAAATAAAACATACTGGAACGTGAAGTTCAACGTACATTACGTCATTATGACATAATCCTCACCTATTCCTGACATTTTTTCTTCTTTTCTTTTTACCCCAGCCAGACAACAGGTCTGGGAAACGTCGAGGCTCGACAAATTAATACCAGTGGACACGTCGCGGCACTGTGGCAATGGTTGCCTGCATGCACGCCGCCACCTCCCAAGTACTCTGGTGGTTTAAGGGATCGTTCCACTGTACTGCCGCCAACAAGCAATACTGATACCTTGTTGCCGTAGTAGATCCGCTCGATGACCGCCAGACACCAAGAGCAATGGATTAAAGACAAGGGGACGGAGGAGCAGGTATTCGTGATGAGAATGCGCTCATGTACACCGATACATTGACGTCACTCGCCCGGCATGCAAATGATTGATATATGCAAATGATTAATATATGCAAATGATTAATATATGCAAATGATTGATATACGCACATGATTGATATATGCAAATGATTGATATGCACTGTGTGCTGTCACGGCAAAAAAAAGAATACCGATTTTCTCAACTGTGCTCCGATCTTGATGCTCTCACTCAATATCTATAAGACCGCGGCGCGAGATTACGGGAAAATTGTTGAAGCAACCACACCATAGTCCAATCTCGATTAAAAAGCCAGTTGTTATTTATGCGGCTGCAGAACGAACATAGAAAAACGTCGATTTACTTGGGACACGGGCCATTTTACACATATAATTTAATGCACAAGGGACAAGGGGCTGTGTACCATATAATGCACATTACGTATTACGTATTGATATGCAGTGTGCTGCCACGGCCAAAAAAAATCGGCAACATATTCACGAAAAAAAAAAAAGCCGCGCAAACAAAACAAGGCATTTAATAATAACTTTTATATTCAATCAACTTTTTAAGTAACACTGTAATTCCCACAAGAAATTACTTCGGAGATATTACCAAATCTTGGTCCTCGTCTACCGGTAGTTCATTGGGATTCAAAGGATCTGGTCGTTCATTGCAAAAGAAAAGAAGCATCAAAGGATCTCGTTGTTCATTGCAAAAGAAAAGGAGCAAAAAGAACATAGACAAAGATCGACTACTTCAGGATCAACAAGGGGTGGTTCACCACATAGGCAACAAGAACGGGCCATGCGAGACCGCCCTGCTCAGAACCCAACGCTTTTTTGTCCTCGATTTGATATCAGCTGACATTTTTCCCCGTCCATTCCGCTAGTGATATGAGCTGGCATTTGTCCCCGCTCATGCCGAGGAGGTTTGCCGTAGACATCGCGCTATGATATTCGTCAGCGGACATTATTATGCCATCCCCACCATGACCCCTCCATTACTCAACCCAGACTGAGTTCCACGACAGCTTTTGCTCCCACCGGCGCTTGTTTCACAAAACTGCCATGCTCTGCGCGCAATGCCAGAACCGTGCATGACATATTTTCCAGACGCGCCCGCAGAGAAGACAAGACGATCTCAAAAAACGAAAACAAAGGGCTCAAGGGGGAAAAAAAAAAGGGCTCAAGAAATCCGGCGAGAGATGAACTACTCGAAAACAGGAATGCTACAAAGAAAGAGTGAAAATTACGCAGATCACAACTTGCGATCTGAGTGGTGCCGCCTCGAGTCTAAAATCCCCTAGGGATCCTGCAACCCATCGGGTCTCCCAACGAATGAGTACAGGGGGCTCTCCCTGAGGCCTAGTTGCCACCCTCTACTAACCCCTAGACCCTTTTTATAAAAAAAAAAACAAAAAAACAGGAAAAAAAAAAACAAAACAAAAAAAAAGGAAAATTACGAATAGGACACTGTGCCAAATACACAGCTATAATGACCGGGCGTTCTATTCGGATGAAGACGGTAGGTGATGCTCAAAGATCGAGAACAAGATGCGCGGGCGGGTGGGGAAGAAAGAAACACAAAATAGTGAAAACAGTGGCCATTGACTTCTTCTCGCACATACTCCAACTGATCAAACATTACATCTCCGCACGCACTGTTCTCAGTAGAAACGTGCAAATTCCCCGACGCGTTTCGGCCAGGTTGCGCTCCTGGCACTCCTCAGGGGCCTTCTCCCAAGAAGATCGATCGCCTTGCGCCACCACCATCCCTTCCGGCCAACTGAGAAATAGACGGCCTCTGACCTTGCCCTCTGCTTATACTTGCCATCTATGATGGCAAGGCAAATGAACGTTCGGCGGCCTCTGACCTTGCCCTCTGCTTATACTTGCCATCTATGAGGTAAGGCAAATGAACGTTCGGCGGCCTCTGACCTTGCCCTCTGCTTATACTTGTCATCTATGAGGCAAGGCAAATGAACGTTCGGCGGGCTCGGACCTTGCCCTCTGCTTATACTTGCCATCTATGAGGCAAGGCAAACGAACGTTCACCGAACTGAGTAGCGCTAGTGAACCCAACTACAAGAGGGCGCACACGTCTCCGCCACCAAGAAGTGTCTTAGTCCATGCCGCTTCTGGCCTGGCCATGTTCCCACTACACTGATCCTTGCGCCCATCTACCACAAAATCGGACAGTTCGCATGACAGGCAGAACATCTTTCTTTCTTTTTCTTTCAAGTGCAAGAAGATCAACCTGCCGCCTTTCATACACAGCAAGTATGAAAAGAAACACAGATCGAGAGAAAGACAAGAAGCATGACCTGCGACTGTACGTATCCATCTGGCAGCAGGGTTGCCAAGAAACGGTCCATCCTCCTCATGGGTTCTATCAGAACAATGCTACCGTCTTCACCCGAATAGAACGCCCGGTCATTATATAGCCGTCGTATCTGGTGCAATTTTCAGTCCAGATGCAGCTATAATGACCGGGCGTTCTATTCGGGTGAAGACTGTAGTCCTTCCACACAATCAAAGCTCAAAAGGCATTACCGATCTGCTGAGACGCCAAGGAGGAGAGCGGGCGGGCGGCATCATCGACATCATTATTTCGCAGCCCCGTCTTTTCCCTCGTCTTTGTCCCCATGTCATTGATTAATTGCACACGTTGTGGCCATTTCACGGGCTCGACGTGCCAACAAGTCGCTCTAAGCATGTAACGCCCTTTCAACGAAGACCAGTCACATTGCAGCAAGCTCTCTAACGCTGAACAAAGCGCGAAAAGCGTTCCCTCCCTCTACATTGCACAGTTACCCCCACTCTATACGATCTGCGGTACAGCGACCCCATCCATGAGAATACCTCACAGATGCTCTCTCTCTCTCTCTCTCTCTCTCTCTCTCTCTCTCTCTCTCTCTCTCTCTCTCTCTCTCT